GCGGTTATAATTTTAACATAATGTGAACAGGCTAAGATTTTAAAAAAAAGACAACCATTTTGGCATTGCCGAAGCTCTCGGTGATAAAGAACCAAAACTTTTTGGTCCGTTCAAAGAGTTGCATTCTAGACCCTCGGTGAAGTCATCAGATCAGAGAAGAGGGCCTACAACACAATGTGACTCACTTTCGCTCTATAAAATCCAATCCGACTTACTTTTTCTCTATTACTCAACCACATCTAACCCATTGTGGCTCAATAACTTAACCTTTTTGGCCCAATAACATAACTTTATCTAACAACGTTCACTCTATAACAGAAACCACACCTCGCCCATTTTAGCCCAATAACTGCTTGCAGTTGTATACTACGTTCTCCACATTATTCGAAACAATTTAACATTATATTCTTTACGGACGAAGTGAGCCTCAGCTATGTCTACCCGGGTAAACCGGGACTGGTAGGGATACATACACCCCAGCAGAAGGACGCTGACTAGCTCAACGCAGTCAAACTGGAATCGAAATCAAACCCTTTGCCTGCAAGGCGAGGAGGCTAATCATTACACAACAGACTCCAATGATCTAAAAAACTACGTCCCTGGAGGCAGGCGGGTACCATCAGAGGTAGACCTGTCATGTCTCCCCCCCCCCCCCCGGCCTCTTCTACAAAATGCACGTGCCTACACAAACACCTCTTGTTGCCAGCCCACAGCTGCTCCGGCGAGATAAGCTCACAGTTATCTCTGTCTGTCTCTCTCTCTCTCTCTCTCCCCCCCTCTCTCTCTCTCTCTCTCCCTCCCCCCCCCCCCTCCTCACACACCACACAGATAAAGACACATAATCACACCACACTTTCTCTCACTCTTCCGTTCAGCCTATCTGCCTGCATGTCTGTCAGTCCCTATATCTCTCACTCCCCCCTCTCCTCTCTACTCCCCCCACCCCCACCCCCTCTCTCTCTTTCTCTCTATGTCCGTCTCATATCAACTCCAACCACCCAACACCACCCACCCCCTCATCACCTTGACTGACACACGTCCCAACTACCGATTCAGTCGCGTCCTTAATTACCTCCTACCCATTGTGCCACACCTGGACAGTCACAAACTAACTGACCTCGCTGTCAACCCACTTCGGTAGCCAAATTAAATATTCCCTGACCCCCAAGTTGGGGGTCACCACCTCAAGAGATGAACATGATTACAACCTCATCAACTGTTCACGTAAACTATACACACAAAAGCCATCTGCCACGTACTGTGAGCAATTGAACTACCAAGGACGATGCACAGACGAACGATTATGTACCTGTCTAAGCTTCTTCGGCTACTGAAACGCAATACCAAAGGCGACAGAGGGCAGGCAACGAGAGTGGCTGGTAAATGGACGTTCCAAATAACCCTGTCCGCTGAGTTACTGTGTCCTGCAGGCACACGCTAACACTAGTAGGACAACTGACAATACAACGATGCCACCTAATTTAATCATCCCTCAAATTGCCCAGGCGAGCAGAGTTTCCTGTTGCCTAGCGCGTGCTTTGAAGCGGCCCTGCAATGAGTGAGCGCTCTCTTGTGCGAATTGGGGGGTGGGGGTAATTGTGGAATGATGATGACTGGTATAATGGAACGAGAAAAGGCAGCAAAGAGGTAGGTGTGTGTGTGTGTG